GGATTCCACGCGTGAATTTTTCTTTAACCTTCAATTAGGTTCACTACCTCCGTTAACACTATTCATTTCCAAACAGGGAGGTACTACCGCCTGTGAAGATATTGGAAGCATAATGTGTTGTCTAATGGTAGACCCTGCTGCCATATGGCATCACGAAAATTGTGACCAAGTCCCAGGTTGCTGATCTGAATTTCTGCTTCATTTACACACAATTGCAGGGTCTCAATTGTTTCTCTTACCATTGACAACACAACATACATATATCGTTTCTCACTTTTGATCTTTTTTTTCTTTTTTGTATTTATAGTTCTTTATTATTAAAATTATTATTATTATTACAGTTACTGTATTATTATCATCATTATTTTATTATTTTATTTTTGTTTGTTTTATCATAAATTTTATTTATTATGAATTATTATGACAATTATTATTATTATTATTATTAATTATTAATTATTATTATTAATTATTATTATTATTATTAATTATTGATTATTATTATTTATTACATTTTCGCCCCCCAGGCCTCGATGTGGGTCAGTGACCTGTGTCCGGGTGGGCTAATCTCCGTAAAAAAAAAATTCACATCAGTGACAAATATCCTCTAATCTCATCGAGTCACATCAGGTCACTTCACCTTTTAACCAATATTTCCCATATATTAACACAACACTTCACGTTACGGGTCCTCCAGCACTTCACAACACCGAACACTTCCACTTATATCAGTATATAACACCGAAAGAGTATCAAGTTTTTAAGGAAATTGTCAAAAATGAAGGAATAATGCACACACCACCTTGACCACGCGACGGACACGAACAGCGAGTAATGTGTGGCTATCAAGCTGCCCATACATGTTGCCATATCACCAAAATTTATTTATTTTTAATTCTCTATCGTATAAATCGTTGTTGATGTTAGAATAATGACGTTTATCAATTATATTCTAATTTATCTTATTACTCTAAAATAAAACCTTGGTGAGCATTATTGGAAGTAATAAAGAAACAAACGAGCGAACTATCAAACAAGCACTGGAACGACTCTTTACGGTACTTAAACAACAATTCATTAATTATCTTATCACTCATATATTACCGTTACTATGCGAGATTTAAATTAATTTTTAGCTGATTTTAACGAAGACGAAAACAAATAAATAAAATAAAATCAATAAAACACAAAAAATGATCATAAACGCGTAACTCAAGATAGGTGGAGGGAGGAGAGGCAGTCCACACACCACCTCCTCCACCTTCATTTATCATCATCTTAATAAATACGTATAAGGAGATCACACACACACACACACAAAACAGTAGTGGATTTTTCCCCTACAAACGCTGTTTGTCGCTGCGTAGCCGACCCCACGAATTCCAGTGTATGCCTCGTGGTCTAGGTCAACCAGCGCCGCCATACATCACAGAGCGGGGGTCAACTACTAAGCCACGCCTACCCCCCGCTATTTAAGACCTGACCTCGTGGTGACCTGTCTCTTTCTACCTACACCAACCAGCCAGCAACACCACCTCCTCCTCCGCTGCCTGGCGGCCCTCGCTCCCGCCGGCGAGCGTGGCGACCCACAAGCTGGTCCTCCTCTGAGCACCCTCACCAACCAGCTCTCTCTACATCACGCTTGTAACCATGCTGCCTTCCCAGCACCAAGCTGCATTGTACATCCAATACAACATGTATACAGAGAGCACATTGTGAGTTTCCTTTCTCCATCCCATCCTGAGTGTGAACATAAACATCTCATACCCCACAACACTAATGACTGTTGATACGCAGTTTTATTTTGACTTGTTTTTTGAGGACACATTTTTTCTGTAATTATCACAACTTTACAAGTGTATTCGATGCTAATTAATTAAACGGTGACGGCGTTATGGCTATAGATCACCGGCGTCAAGAATTACAATAACTGCATAAAAAGGGAAGCACATCACTGCCATCCTGCGTTCTAATTAGCGGATATTACATGACGTCATCTTGTACTGATGTTAATTGCGTGTTTTTTTATTACGATTAACTAGTAATAATGTTAAGGGTTCATGTCAGGAATTCAGTGTTGGTAACGAGACAGTTTTTGTGACGTCTATATTGTGTGTAAGGTTAGAGTAACTCATACACTCTATACACGTCTTCACACACACACACACAGAGCAGGGGTGAAATACTCAGCTGGTAGGGCACTGGCTGACGAAGGTATACACATAACCCACCGCCAAGAACATAAGGAGTCTGCAATCGGCCGGTTGGCCTGCGCATGGCAGCTCATGTCGAGAGTTACTACCACTCCCTATCATCCATGAATCTATCTAGCCTCCTTTTAAAACCCTCCAGGTTCCAGCACTTATAACAAAGTTGCTAAGCTTGTTCCACTTGTCCATCACCCTATTTGTGAACCAGTTCCTTCCTATCTCCCTCCTAAACCTAAACTTATCCAACTTACATCCGTTGCTACGAGTAAAATCCGTCATGTTTCCTCCGTCAGCTTTCTAATGACCACGGTCATACATCAGTTAACGTAAAATCAGACGGTTCATATTACTCTCAATAGCCCACAAAACATGTAGCTATGCTTTCTTATTAAAGTTCCCCATCTAAAAAGTCCGTTTTCTCATCGCTTCAGGACGCCTGAGTCCTCCGTTTTCTCTCAATCTTGAATGTACCCGAGACTTCATTATTCCTTAGTAATGACATAATTTGAAATTGCAACTGTGGTTGTAATTGGTGAGGCAACCTAGATATATGTCTGTTTACAGTTGGAACATTCAAGATCCATTGTGAGTGGTGTTGAAAGCTTCAACTGTCCTCATTGTTAGTAAAACTTGTCAAGTAAGTGAGTGTCGAGTTTGCCAGCTAGAGTGGCACATTTTATGTCGTTCGTGGGATATAATAATAATAGCAATATGTCAAACTGTTACATCTTTTTTTACCAGTTTGTCTTTTATAGGATAAATGAAAGACTTTCTATACAGGTCAGTGTATTGCTGTGTATAGCAACCATAAAAGAGCATTTTGAGCATTGTCATTTTCCAGTCAAATAATCACATTACAGTAATACCCCGATTTACGCAGTCAATTGAACCCGCAGAGGTCCGCTTAAAACGAGAAACGCGTAAATGGAATAACAGAACATATGGGATTAATTGAAATAGAGACTGGGCCGACTCCCAAACTCCACTTTTTCCGACACAATACCTCTTCCCACGATTGCTGGCTCCTCCCTCTCTGAGAAATGTTTGGGTGAAAACACGAGATTTTAAGGTATAGTAATAAATAATACCTCAAACTAAAGTTAGGATAATATAATTGACATTGCTGGATTCCTTGCAAGACCAGGAATATTTTGAATATACACGTCATATATTTTGCACAAAAGATAACATATTTGCTCTGAGTAAACAAAATTCTTACATTAGATCTAAAATTTGTATGTCTAATGCAAAATCTATGATATTTATACGTATTTAAAATGATCATCATATTGTAAGAATTCCAGCAATGTTAATTATATTCTGGCCGGTAATTTGTATGAATTTTATGAGCTAAATAAAAAAAATTATACTTTACCCGTGTATATGAGTAGATGCACTGCTTAAAGTGGGAATTCCGGTTCTGGCAGGGTACCGCGTAAATGTAGAAACGCGTAAACGAGAACCGCGTAAAGGTGGGTATTACTTATACTCTCAAGTGTGACAGTAAGTGATGTAAAAAAACAGGGGCATTTCTTCAGACAACTGACTGGTCTTGTTTCATTTGGTTTTGTTTGATTATAAAAAAGAAAAGAAAAAAGTTACAGATAAATGGTCTTGTTCCACTTGTTTTGTCTGACCATAAGTGGGTCTTGTTTCATCTTGCTATTCAGAGGATTTCTCATTTGTACCAACATACATAATATAAACCTAACCTAATATAAACATCAACAAAATGTTGTTACAAAAACAATTTGTCTTTGGAATGTGAAAAATGTTTTCCTAAGTTAACTGTACTACTTTTATAAGGTAATGTATACATCAGACTTAACAAAAAACTTGGCTCAATGTAATAATCAGGTGATACTGTCCAGGGAAACATTTATTATACAGTGGCAGTCAAAAGCTCTTAGACTGCTCACAACTCAACCAATAGCATTTAATTTATTAATAACAACACAAATGAGTACAATGTAAGAGATGTCATCATATTACCCCCCCCACCATCACTATATCCACTACTGATACACTATACTTCACCACCATCACTATATCCATTACTTATACACTATACTTCACCCCAACACTATATCCATTACTGATACACTATACTTCACCCCCAGCACTATTGCCACTGTTCTTCACAATCATCAAAACTGTAAGCATTAATATTATCAATTTTACTGTATTTACCCATATAAGACTTTGTACATGGGATACATTTTTATTATTAATTTTATTATTATTTTTATTATTATTATTATTGTTATTTTACTTTACTTTTATCCTCTTCACTGATCAGCTTCTTAGCCGCTTGGGTGTTCTGTCATGTCTCTATTACGCACTGTTGGCTAGTACTGAGCATGCACCGGCTCCTGAATGTACCTGAACCTGTTCCAGTGTAGGTCAAGTCTGGTCTTTAAAGAGCTCTCACTTGGTGCCGTCACAACACTTTCTGGCAGATTCTTCCAAGAGTTCACAACTCTCACTTCAAAAAAGTGAGCTGTGACCCCTTGTGGGGCGAGCGTCCGCCAACTCCAAGTAAGGACACTCGACTGAGTAGTGCCCCTTGAGATGCTTATACACCTCAATTAGGTTGCCCCTTGCCCGTCTGTATGTTCTTGTTACATGAACCTATTCCGTCTATCCCTGGCAACTGAGTCCAAAAGCAGATAAAGATGTTGAAGACGAGTAGGAAGTAAAGAATGTAAAAAAAGAAATACAAAGGAGAGAAATATATAAAAAAAGGTGACGATAGAAAAATAAAAAAAGCTAAAACATGAAGAGCAACAAAACGTGAGAGGGAGTGATTAATAAATAAGGAACGGCATGAAAGGAGAAGTACTGTAGATAAAAAGAGGTAAAAAAAAAAATACAAAAATAAAAGAAAATGAAGAGCACAGAGAGAAAAGAGACATTGAGGATATAATAAACATGAAGGTGAAGGATAACCTAATTTTAAAATTTACTTGATTCATACACCTCACGTACAAGTTAGGTCTCCCTCGGTCCTAGGGCTTCAATCCCCAGACTTACTGACTTTATGGAGTTATCCGATTACTATGTCAAGTTATAAATTGTTGAAGACAAAACTGTTCTGACAATGCACAAGATAGCTGGTGTAAGTAAAATGTCATAACTCATTAATTGTATCATTTAGACATTGTGAAAGTGTGGGTCAGTGTTGTGAAGACTATCTTGTACACACACAACTGGATGAACAAATGGTATGTTTTCATTATTAATTCCAGCATCTCCACTGAGTTACATTAAGAGCAATAACACTACTGTACTGGGTCCTCATTATATGCAAGGGTTGTGTTCCCCCCAAAATAAGTGCTAAATGGAAACTCTCATTAAAGGAATACAGTACAGTACAGGTACCAATTTATATGTAAAAAATGGGGATGTACTCTATTCCACAATTGAAACACTACTTCTGCTAATCCCATTGTCATCAATTATATAAATTTATAAATGTATAAATAAAATAAAAATACAATTACCAAACACATCTGAATAATAATAAATTATATTTCTTATAGTTTCAATTAGCTTTGGTAAGAGTACAGACTAGCGATGTGTGTACTTTACATACGCCCGATATGTAGTGTAAAGGCGGATAGTATTGTACTTAATACTATGTAGTGTAACAATGAACTTTAATATAATCTATAAAGCGCTCAATACCAGACTACAGTAAGTACCATTTGGGTCAGCTGAGTATCGGCTGAGGCACTATTGCACTGAGTGGCTGGTAGTGACTGACTTGGAACACGTTCTCACACACTCAATAGCATAAGCTCGCAGATAATTCATTTTTGGTAGAAACTAGCACAAAGGGTAATCTGAACACAGTGAACACACACAAATAATGAGGAGTCCTAGTACAGTGTATTACATGTACAGCTGCTGACACAACTAGTGTATTACATGTACAGCTGCTGACACAACTACAGTGTATTACATGTACACCTGCTGACATAACTACAGTGTATTACAGTACAGCTGCTGACACAACTACAGTGTATTACATGTACAGCTGCTGACACAACTACAGTGTATTACATGTACAGCTGCTGACAACTACAGTGTATTACATGTACACCTGCTGACATAACTACAGTGTATTACAGTACTGGCTTTAGTGTGTCATAATGTTCATCTGTTATCAAGAAATAATGAATATACACGACAGTTTAACATAGTGAATAAAGACCACAGTTCAGCGGAAGTCAGTGTAGTAAAGTACAAAGATTAAGATGAAAAAAAAGATAAAGATGAAATGTCAGAAGATAAATTATCAAAATTATCCTTCCAATGACAACCTGGGATCAAATCTCTTGTTGCATACTGCATGGCCCTTCATGTCACACATGGCCCTTAAATCATGAATGGCCCTTCAAGTCATACATGGTGAATCTGCCAAGTGCTTAAAAAAAATTGTGTCCCAAAATTTCAAAAGAAGGATGTACATGTACCTATACTATATATAGTATTGTACAGTATATACAGTGTACCTTCCATAAGAGTTTGGCACCACTATGTGTGATATGACACCTCACATATGGAAACTGAACCTGTTACTGTACTGCAAAACATTTTGAAATGAGACGAACTTTATACCTACAATATTCGTTATTATCTATATTTTTGTGATACCATTTATACACAGACAATAATGTCAGAAAAAAATGAATATAAAATGTACACCTAATCCCTACAGTAATGTTCATGGTGTAGGATAATGAACTATCTGCCAGAAGAGCAGCCACACTGGCAGAAGACACTGAGTAGCCACATCAAACACCCAGTTGGAGTAGATGAGGCTGTCCACCACACTGTACATGAGTGCACGCTTGGTGGCAATGTAGGACTTCCACAGCAGCTTGTTGATGGGCAGCTGACTGAAGTTCTGCCAAGTGTCCAGCATGACGAACAAGAACAACATAGACAGCGGGTGAACTAAGATGAGCAGTAATGACTTTAAACACCACTTCATCCTGTAATAAGAGATGCTGCTTAAATTTGGCTATTTCTTGAAGATCACAATCTTAATTCCAACATTATATATACAGTACATACATCAAATTTAAGGCATTACAGGTTTACTGCATACATTAGTACTGGTCTCTATAATCTCTTTTGATTCATATTACAGCTGCATAACATTCAAACTCACCGCACTAAAGGAGTGACACAGAAAACGGTAAACTTTTGGAAGGGGTAATTCGTTTGCTGTATGTTATTTTATACGAATTATACAAGTGTCTGTGCATATAATCTTAGGTATGTGTACTGATAGTACTGTGTTTCTCTTTAGTCTCAATTCTTTGACATAGTAGAGTTTTGAGCACAAGTGAATTCTTTAGAAGAACTGGTGCTTTTGAGAAACAAAAGACCAGCTATTATTATTATTAGCTGCTGTTACTTGATGGCAGCTTCCATGCTGCATGGTCTCTTGTAGTCTCTCTTGTCAGGTTCCTAGCTCTAATGTCATTTCTTACAACCTGTATTCACGTTATTCTTGGCCTACCCCTGGTTCTCCTCCTCTCCATATTCAGGCTCATGCACCTCTTCACCCAATTGTTCTCATTCATTCTTTCCACATGCCCAAACAATCTCAGCCTGCCTCTATGTAGGTCTACATCAATACTTTCAATACCCAGCTGCCCTCTTAACTCTGAACAGGGCATCCTGTCTTTCAGTGTCATGTTACACATCAACCTCACCATTTTTATTTCAGTTCACTCATGTCTATTTATGTTGTCCTCTCTAACTGCCATGTTTCACTGTCATACAAAATCACATTTCTCACACCAGCTGCATGTGCTCTTCCTTTCACTCAGAGGGAAAGTCCTCTTGCTGTCAATATTGGCAGTAGCACCCTAAACTTCCTTCAGACTCTTACAACTGAGCAGGCTTCAGCACCCTTACTGGCAACCCAGGTAAAAGAACCCATCAAGATAATCCAGAGCCACATACCCCAATGGTGAGTTTCTCCATTGCTGTGGGGACCTGGTTACCACTGCCATACTTAAAAGTCAGCAACATGCTGCAGTCTACCATTTACACAACTGCACCTCATATGAACCCACCTTCCACACATTACAGAACTGAGTTACTGCCAACACCTTTCTTACAAACAGCACATGACTGTTTTCCACTTTCTGCCATGGATCCTTCACCCACACCACTAATCATTATTTTTTATTTTTGCCAAATTTACTTGTATACCTTTTGACTCCAGTCCATATACATGTGTTTCTTAAATTTCTCCACTAGGGTCATTCCATAGTGAAGTTCGTTACATTTGGATACATTTTTTGCATGTAGTATTCCCAGTTACATTACCCAAGTAAAACTGTATAATCAAATGGCTCTTAAAACATATACTATACAAGTATTACCCACACTTAGAACAGGGGTGTGCTAGAATAAAATACTCAGTGCAACAACACCAATGAAAGAGCAATTAGAGGTAGTTTTAATGGTTAATTGTGGTTCTAAGCATGCCACTGTATGAGTTGTGAGACGGGCAGACCACTGGCCGTGTACCAGCATTAGACGTGATAGCTCTGATGCGGCGGGCTCTCGCTTGGACAGTCACACAGGTACTAGTCCTACATATTTGCTCAACGCAGTTGGAGCGTTGCAAACATCAGAAGCGGTGTCCATTGTTTTTACTTTTGAGCCCATAATCATGTTATCAAAGAAAAGAACAATTAATAACTAGAGTTGGGTGGTACAGAAAAAGTGGAAAATCTTCGACTTTTTTGTTGAAACGAATGGAAAACCAACACATTTGATTTGTAAGCAACAGGTAGCTGTTGACAAAGATTACAACGTTCGAAGGCATTATGATACTAACCACGCTCCAAAGTATGATAAATATAGTGGCAAGTTACTTGAAGACAAAGTTAAAGAGTTAGAGCAGTCATTGAAAAAGCAGAGTTTTCATAAAGTCAGTGATGCTGCAGTTAAAGCAAATTACAGGATTGCCCATGAAATAGCTGTGTCATCAAAGCCTTTTTCTGAAGGGAACTTTATAAAGAAATGTATGTTGATGGCTTTAGAAGATATTTACCCGGAAAAATGTCAAGCATTTGGAAACATTAGCCTCTCAAGGCATGGAGGTCCGCGTAAACGAAATAACAGAACACATGGGATTAATTGAAATAGAGACTGGGCCAACCCCCAGACTACCCTTTTTCCGACAAAATACGTACGTTGTAATAAAAATAACATCCTAATTTTATGATGGCATGCACACACAATTAATATTTAAGAGAATATCAATAATATTAGGTTTTTTAACACTTACGTTAGTAGAAAAGATGGCTGGGCACACGGGGTTGGGGGGGTTGGTTCCAAGGCAGAGGGCAGATTATTGGCCCTCACCTGTATCACTATCCACCACAGAGGCTAGCAGGACCTCTTTGTCAAACCCCTCAAAGTTTGAATTCTTTACCCAGCATGTCTTCAGGTATGTGTCTGTGTTACTTTGTACCTTTATTCAAGATGAGTGGAAAAAGACCACCAAGTTCAAGGGAGAGCAGTGGTGATAAAGATTCCCTACAGGAATTACATTGGATATTAAATATGATGTTTTAAGGAGTTACAGTATATAACTCCCAGGAACTCCAATCACACCACCTTGCCTCACCACCTCGTACAGCACTCAACATCTTTTCTGGTGACTTAAATTCAAGTGTGTGCATTTATTGTCATGTTACTTCATGAATGAATCACTGCATGTGTTTAAAACTGTTATTTTCTTTCATATATGTGCTTGTGTTACATTTTTGGGCAGCAAAAAATTTCCATAGGAACGCATCTCAACTTATATAATGGGGGTCAATGGGAAAAATGGTTTCGTGTTATGGGATTTCGTGACATGGAAATCAGCAACAGACCCCTTCCATAACCCAGGGCAGCCTGAATACTGTAGCTGTGTTTGACTTTACGCGTGGAATGATCCACTACCTCTTCAGTACAATCTGCTATGAGATGTAAATCATCAGCATACATACTTGAATTTGGGATATTTGGCCAAGCATCTCGCTACACTATCATTGGTCAATTGTATATTTAATTATCAAACTTACCCTTAAGATAAAAGGTTGTGAAGTTTTCTTATTACACTACTGTACAGTAGTACAGTACTTTCACCTTAATAAAAAGGTTTGGAGTGAGGGACTGAGAAAAATCTTGGGACTCAAAATGTTAAGAGAATTCAATTTTAAAATATGGCTTTATTGGATTGAGGGGCTGCTTAAACTAGGGGGATGTCCCTCTCCCTTAGGTAAATCCCTGTTATCCATTTATTTATTTTTTAATTAAAGACATTTTTATATTTCAGACCTGTGAGAGTGTGTCAATGGCACAGTCAGAGATGCATGGTCAGCCACACACCTACATAAAGTTCATCTATATACACATCAATAATTTCTCTACCTCTCTATACTTGAAAAAATGTAAAAGAAACTTACCTGCTTTTGGACGGTGAGGTAATGAGAGCAACCGGTGTAAACGCTATGGTGATAATTAATGCCAGAGAAAAATTATACACAGCCCCGGCAAACAGCAGAACACCCAGTTCTAATACAGCAAAAATCTTCACTATCTCCCAACTACGTTCTTGTAAACCCATGTATCTGTCGAGTGAACAATTAAGATTAGTGCCTCTCATTGTAATGACTGTGTCTGAATGTACAAAATATCACAATGAAGATTAATTATACCAAATAGAAAAAATCTACTAGGGTATAATTATATAAGTACATGTAGTTACTCCCTCACTTCCATTCAGATACCAATATTTTTTCAAAACAAAATATTGATTGTATCTACCATTTAATTTTTGGGGCAAAAGCTTTGCTATAAACAGCGATATTTCCATTTCCCAGAACAATTGGTGTAGAGCACTTCTGGGAATGAAAGATTTCCGGGTAATGACACGAGTCCCTCAAAGACAGAAAAAATCCCTCATCCTTGGAATTTTTTGGGTAACGATTATGCGAATTGGCAGTTATTGGGGCGTTGGTTTTTAGGAGATACAGTACCTGTACAGTACATGAATATTAAAAGAAAAGCAAAATTAACTTCTGACTTGAATTCCACTTCTCCATTACTCTAAAAAAATTTCAAAACAACTTCAAACATCTTCATACAGTACATTATAAAACCCTACATCGTTGTTTTGAACAAAATTAAGAATTTCAAATTGTTTACACAAATAGTAATGTGATAATTTTGCCCTCAAAAGCTTTTTTCTCTTGGAATTGGAAATTAAGGTTTTTAACACAAGGGGCTGAATAAATGGAGGTGGCATCTGCTGCCTCAAGTGAAGTCACTGACCACGACTTGATGCCTTGTCCAATATTGTGGCGCTACTCACTCAGTGACTTCAACCTTCTTAGTTAACCTCACTGTAATGTGTGTACTAAATAAAACAGTTGTATAAATCTTGCAGAATTATCTGTAACCACCGTTTGTTTGTGGACAGCTGCAACAACTGTGGCCATGTTGCCTTGACCAAGATGGCAGCCTGCCTTCATGCACCTCTGTTGTATACACGGTGGATGGGATGCCGCCTCCATCCACTTTATCTCCTTGGTGCACAAACAAACACACACACACACACACACACGATAACAGAAATACAAAAATAAATAAGCCAGGATGAGCAATTACGATTACAAAAAGAATGAAAACAATGTACAGCACAGTACTGTATCCCAACTTTCTGGTCCCAGGGACAGATCCAATAATATAAAAAAAGGGCGGAGGAGATCGAAGAAATTGTGGATGGGGGAACATGGAGGCACAGCGAGCCTATCCAGCTAGGGGGCTGGGGGGGGGGGACTGTAAGTCAATAGTAATTACATTTTACTGTACAAAAATGTCTGAGTACAATACTGCATTAAAGAAAAAGTATTGGAATTTTCTGACGAAAAGAGAGGTCTGAACCCCCCCCCCAGTACTGTACTACTGTACCTACATTGAGATTTTCAACATTTGTACTGAAACACCTACCCACTGTACTGAATAAAACCATCTGGCAGTAACTTAATAAAACAATAAAAGTGGCAATGATTCTAAAATAAATAACCCAATCATCCTTTTCTAATCCCCAATAAATAAATCTTCATAAAATGTGTATGCACTTAGTATTAATATGAAGCCCTCTTGGAGAATGTCCACTACACTACCTGAATTGTTACTCTTAATTTATTTTGGTAAATCAGAGTAAGAAAGTGTTGTTACCAGTCCCTTATAGTGTACAGTATTCAAGCAACACTTATCTTTTACTATAGCATAACAAAAATAAGAATTCTGGATATTAGATGATTGTATGAGTACACCAAAATGTTTCTGTTATATTTGCTTAAAGTGAAGAGTTGCATTAGCATGAGATGGAAATAATAAAAGATAAAGTACTGTAACAAGAATATTCCTTAGTGTGGCATTAAAACAATGAATGATGATAACAACTGGAGCAGCAAAATTAAGAAGAAAGACACAGACAAGAGAGGGGAACTAACCTGTTGATACAGGAGGGTAGCACCAGTAGAGTTAAACAGAAAGCAGCGGTGCCCAAGAAGACACTATCCTCAGCAGACAGTGCCATGATCAGTCCACACCGAGACAACATGGGGGGCCCACACGACACCGCTACACTCACCAAGTGCATCAACACTACCAGTGGTACACACCCCAGCAGTCCATAGTCAACCTAGAAAGAATAAAATGTACAAAATATGCATACTGTATAACCTTAGTACTGTACAGTACATCATTAGTTAAAGAGACAAACAACTCAACAGATATCAAAATGGTTTATTCACATAAATACTGGCCACATTCACATTTACAAAGAAAAGCTTTTCATTTACACTAAGTCTACTAAATAAAACCCTTTCCTTTATACGGTCAAACACGTTGAGACAACAATAAGCTGGCTGGGTTGCTGGTCCCATCCCTGTACTGTACTCACAGAGGATGTGTTTAGCCCTGGGCAAATAACCAGTTGTCATGCCTATAATCAATATTATGACAGTTATCCATACCAGAATCTTATGATATACTGTATAGCCATGTAACAGAAAAAGAATAGGTAAAACTATATTTTATAAGACTGACCTTCTTTTTTATATTCTTATTTTGATGCTGTTCTTCTGCAGCACAGCTGGTGGAGTACCAGAGAGCCAAGGCCTTTACCAACACCCCACCTGCTATCATCCCAAATGGAGGCATGTAGACACCTGTAAAAATTAAGATTTGTTACATATGAGAAAAAAAAAGTTTTTTAACACACAAAACAGTTATTTTACATATACAGGTAGTAGGCAGCTATCAAACATGGAGGAACTACTGCCTGGGAAGATATTGGAAGCATAATGTACTGTATGGTCTAATGGTAGGTCCTGCTGCTATATGGCATCACAAAAATTGTGACCAAGTCCCAGGTTGCTGATCTGACTTTCTGCCTCATTTACACACAATTACAGGGTTTCAATTGTTTCTCTTACTTTGACAACACACCATAAATACAGTCTCTCCTCGACTTACGACGGGGTTCCGTCCCGACAACCAGGTCATAAGTCGAAAAGGCAAAAATAATACATAGAAATTCTAAAATGGGTGTCTCTTTTCTTTCTCAGCACCCAAGAACTCTCACTTTTACGCTTGCCAGCCATTTTAAAGGAAATTAGAAACAAAATTCTTGTCAGTACACAGTGCGATCACTAATGTCAGGACTCGAAAATACGTAATGTGAAAAATACTTTATACGACCACAGCCGCCGTATGTCCGGGTTGTAGTAAGTCGAGTATGTCGTAAGTCGAGGAGTACCTTATATCGTTTCTCACTATCGATCTTTTTTCATTTTTGTATTTCTTTATGGTTCTTTATTATTATTATTATTGTTGTTGTTATTGTTATTATTGTTATTATTACTTATCATTACTATTCCAGCGGTCCCTCGGTTAACGAACGCTTCGGTTAACAAATTACCTTCCATAAGAATCTTCAGTTCGGTTAACGAAAAAAAATTCGATTAACGAAATCCTTACGAAAATTACGTTTTGTTTTGAACATCAGCTGATAAGCTGAGGGGGTACTCAGCCAATTCAGTCATCTCTTCTATGTTTACATTCATTTCCAATGGAATAAATATCAAGAAAATTGTGCTCTTTAATATTTGTGCATTTTTTTATACAGTGTATTAAAATTATTGGTCATTCTAAAATTTAGCCATCCAAGCTGTCTACATAAAGTTTTTCAACTATTTTTGGCTCGATATATGTAACTTTATTCATTTATTGAAAATCATTTACATGCACACACTGTCCTTAGGGCAAAGCTGACTGTCAGGGTTGTTATGATTTAAATCGATTTAAATCAGAGTAAAAAAATCATGATTTAAATGAAAATGATTTTTTTTACTAAAAACTGTTTTCTCATCACCTCATCTAAGCACCTCACTTTCAAAAGCTTCATCATTATCATCTCTAGTTAAAGATATATCAGATGCTCCTTCTCCCTCACCATTTAAGAGAGATAAGAGGGATAGTTCTATGGAACAAAGAAACATAACTGGTTTTGTGATAAAAACTACTAAGTCTGAAAAAGTCACTTTGGATCAGAGAGTTGCTAATTATATATATGCAACAAATTCCCCCTTCCGAACAGTGGAGCACGAAGAGTTTATCAAGATGATTAAAATGCTAAGACCAGGATATGTTCCACCTAATAGACATCAAATTGGAGGGTCTCTTTTGGATCAAGCCTACGATTCCGTGATTAAGAATTATTCAGAACTTAGTGGGAAAACAGTTTGCATGGCCATGGATGGATAGAGTAATGTCCATAATGAGCCTATAGTATGTATAACTATAACAGCGGACAACCGTATTTATCTTGTTGACTCTATATTCACATAATCAAGACACAGCTGAATATCTGTTGAAATTAGCTGAATGTGCTACAAAAAAGTGTGAAGACAAATTTGGATGCACAGTAAGAAGCTGTGTACAGTGGGGTATGCTATAACGAATCTAACTGGTTCTAGAACCTTGTTCATTAAAGCATTCGTTCGTTATAGGATTAATCCGTTCCAGGCCCCCAAATACAACCACTTAACACTGAAAAATATATTATAAAATTGTAAAAATTGCAAAAAAGTGCATAAATATGCATCTAAACCCCTGAAATAAAGAATATCATTAATACTTGTAATAAAAAAACAATAAATTAGTAAAAAAAAAAAAAATTCCTTGTAGGAGTTTCGTTCGTAATAGCATTCTCAATTTTATAGGTAAAACCGTTCGTTATAGGAATATTCGTAGTAGAATCAATTCGTTATAGCATACCCCACTGTAACAGATAATGCTGCTAATACAGTATGGCAAAAATGAGATGTGAATTCGGACAAGATAAATCCATTATAACATATGGTTGCTCTGCACACCTGTTAAATTTGCTTTCACAAGACCTGCAAATCAAGAACATTAAGGAGCACATTACTGAAATCATTAAGTACTTCAGAAATCATCACATCCCAGGATCTTTGTATAGAAGAGCAGGAGGAACAATGCTAGTAATGCCATCAGACACACGATGGAACACAGTGACAGATTCTATTGAATCTTATTTAAAGAACTGGGAGACCCTTGTCAAAGTGTGCAAAGAAAATAGTGAAGACATTGATAAGAAAATTGAAAGGAAAGTTAATGATAAGGCATTAAAAAGAACTGCAGAAGACTATTTAGAGAGACCTAAGCCTATTGCTGTGGCATTGGACTGTGTCCAGAGAGAACATACCCTATTAAGTGATGCTGTAGAAATCTGGGTAAAACTGAAAACTGATATTAAGGAGTATTTAACAGATAAGAAGGATATGGATAATTTTGAAAAAAGAATCAAAGTAGCATTGACACCTGCCCATTTTCTAGCTAATGTGATAGATCCAAGGTATCAGGGCAGACATCTGACTCCTGAGCAGCGAGACATTGCAGAACAGTATGTGTGCGAGTCTCTTCCACATTTCCTTTCAACATTAATGTCCTTCCATGGAAGAAGTGCACCATTTAAAGATGTCTATTTTGGTAAAGATGTTGTAAAATCTCTCTCACCCCTTGCTTGGTGGCAGTATTTTGCCAATGATATGACAGAAAATTTAATGGATGTTCCTAGGCAATTATTTACAGCTGTTGCATCATCAGCAGGGGTTGAGAGAATTTTTTCCACATAAGGATTTGTACACTCAAAGGTAAGAAATCGCCTAGGACAGGGAAAGGCATCTAAGCTTGTCACAGTTAAATTAAAAACGAGAGTAGGAGTATCAGACCTGAGGCTTCAAGATGGTAGTTCACGCAGATTCTGACCAGGGTAAGGCCGAGACATTGAACAGCTTCTTTTCCACGGTGTTCACAAGAGAGGATGCAACTAACCTTCCTGCGTTTGAGGACAGAAGGTTCGAACCAGCACTGACCCACATTGTGTTCACAGAAGAGGGTATTAGAAATAAATTGTCCAGGCTAAAGGTCCATAAGAGTCCCGGCCCTGACATGGTGCATCCCAGAGTGCTAAAAGAGTTGTGCAACGAGCTTGCCGAGCCCCTGAAGATCCTGTTTTGCAAATGCCTGGATGAACAAATGGTCCCCAGTGATTGGAAAGTGGCTTAAGTGAGTCCTATCTTCAAGAAGGGCAATTATCACCCAACAAACAGCTATAGACAGGTGAGCCTGACCAGAATAATATGTAAAGTACTTGCGAGTATCATCAGAGATGAAGCGATGGAACATCTACTTCGAAACAACCTTGCAAAGGATTGCAAACATGGTTTTGTGCCGGGGCGCTCCTGGTTAACTCAATTGCTCAAGGTATTGGATATTTGGACCCATATTCTGGAACGGGGTGGCAATATAGACAACATATACCTAAATTTTGCCAAGGCTTTCGACAGTGTACCCCCACGAAAGGCTGAAAATCAAACTGGAAGGGTACGGAATTCGGGGAAATGTCCTAACGTAGATAGAAGACTATCTACATGACCGCAAGCAGTATGTGGTGATTAATGGCACAAAATCATCATCTGTATCTGTCACAAGCGGGGTACCACAGGCGCAGCGGATTGGGCCCGCTGGTGTTTCTTTGTTTCAAAAATGACATGACTGACGTTGTACACTCCTCCATACAAATGTTTGCCAATGACGCCAGGTTATTTTGGGAAATCAAGAACCAAGTGGACTGTGAAGAGCTGCAGAAGGATCTCTGTGGGCTCCAGGAATGGTCGAAGGAATGGCTGCTGAGATTATGTCAAGAAGTGTAAGAGGATGCACCTGAGGCATACCAATGGTAAGGAGGCGTATCATATGTCCCAACAGGATGAAGAAACTGCACTATTTGAGACTGAATGTGAGAAGGACCCAGGTGTGTATGCTGACAATGAGCTGAAGTTCTCGGGCCATTGTGAGAAGACGGTAAATCAGGCAAATAAATTATTGGATCTTACAAGAAGGTCGTTCAGATATCTAGATGGTCCGTCCCTCATAACGATCTTCAAGGGTGAAGTGCTTCCCCATCTGGAGTACTGTCACGCCGTCTGGTCCCAGAGAAATGCTAGGGACTGTTAGTTGGTTGAAAATGTTCAAAGGAGGGCCACCAGACTGGTGCCTGCACTTTGGCACCTCAACTACCCTGAGAGATTGGAGCGCCTAGACTTGCCTAGCTTATACTACAAACGGGCAAGGGGTGACCTAATTGAGGTGTATAAACATCTCAAGGGGCACTACTCAGTCGAGTGTCCTTACTTGGAGCTGGCGGACGCTCGCCCCACAAGGGGTCACAGCTCAAGATTGAAGAAGCCGCAGGTCCAGAAAACTGTGAGGGCAAACTTTTTCGGAGTGAGAGTTGTGAACTCTTGGAACAATCTACCAGAAAGTGTTGTGATGGCACCGAGTGTGAGCTCTTTCAAGACCAGACTTGAGCAACACTGGAGCAGGTTCAGGTACATTCAGGAGCCGGTGCATGCCCAGTACTTGCCAACAGTGTATAACAGAGAAGCGACCAATCGCCCAAGCGGCTAACGAGCTAATCAGTGGTGAAGAGGATAAAAGAAAAGAAAAGATGACTCATTTTGGTTCAAACTTGAAAAATAAATACAAAATTGGGTGACTGACCTGAAATCCCAGTTTTTAAGGAAGTCTGGACAAAGCAACTCATGTACTACTGCCACTGAGGCTATGAGGCCAAAACCCAGGAAGTTCTTAACTTTAATGACTTGAAATAATCCAACATTAGGTGCACCTTCACATAATACAGCAGAATATAATAGCTCTGTATTTTTAAATAATTTAAACTCTCAAAACTGTGGGAAAAAAATCTGGAGCACAAGTTTCCTGAGATGGCCGCTCTATTGACCACATGGCGTCACCACTGATTAGTTATTGTTTTCACCGTCACCACACACAGCAGTAAGACTTCAAGATTTTCTCAGTTATTTGTGCAATACTCTTATAATCTCTGTCCTTCAAATGACACACAAAAAGTATCAGAGTGACAGTAATTGGGAGTGTTGTGAAGAGGATGCATATTGTATGTATTTACCATCATCAGTCTGCCAAGAATACTACACCAAACAGTCTGATTTGATGTGAAATCTTGATTCAAGGGGTTTTAGAGCCAAATCATATCATCATCATCATCACATCATCAACTTGTCATCATCATCATCAATGTCTTATGGCCATTTTCCACTCTTACATGGATTAGGTAACACTTAAGATCAGTACCAAAATATGTGCTTTGCTTGACATTTCTGATTAAACTCTCAAATTATAATAAATAAAATTACCTATTGATATATATCTATTTGTGGCTGGTAGAAGGTAGAAGAAGAAGGACTGGTGGAAACGCTCTAATAGATTGTTGAGAGAGCGGCAGACTCCCTCAAGCACACGTCCCAGCTGGTGGAGGGATACGCTGCGCCAGCCTCGGCCTTGTTGCTGCTGTCCTTCTACTGTCACTGCGGCAATGCCATACCTGTCAGAAATAGTTGTACTTATCAATCCTCAGCGTGGTCTACCTTGTACTTCAGCAGGAAATGGTATAAATAATATAACTGATATAATGAACTGACTATTCTGGTTAAGAAACTACGAAACATCTGCACTACCCTGTTACACACTATCCTGCACATAAGATTTACTTTTTAGCATAAATTCATTTACAAAAGTATTCCATAATACTAAATTTACTACACATATTTAGCATGATTCGTAAAGCATTTTGCAAAATTCCAAAAAGTTTTCAGTTTTACAACAAATACACTTAACAATTTGAAAATCTTTACGGTAAATCAAATGTAATGCATAAAGCACTTTGAATTGTAAAACTATACCAAAATCATTGCAAGCAGGAAGAACGACCAGGAACTGAGGTTGATTGAGCCTAGTGGGTAGTCTGTTTTAGAACCTGTATGGGTCATGGAAGGAATATGTTGAGTGTGTGGCTGCAAAGACTCGCCTCTCTCAGTCTAGCGCACCTGGCTCATCAGTGTTACATCTTATTTACATAGGCTGCACTTTTATAGGTATTCTTTAATATAAGCCACACTTTTATAGGTTCTCTGGAGTATAACCCAATCACACAAGTGGAAGGTTCCTGAGGTTGAATCACTCCATCAGAAGTATTGAAAAGATAAAAAATAGATGGAGAGAAAATTATGTAAGGAGTCAAAGAATCAGCTGTACTATCTGTTGTAACCCTTAATGGTAGTGCAAATTTTAAGGGACTGCAAGATGAACTAGTGCTATACATTACCTGTGGAATAAACCATGGTTGCCTGTAGGGACACCTGAAGCCTGTGAGGCCACCATAGCTAACAGTGTCTGCAGCTGGTGGAGCCAACCTTGTAAAGTCTCTGGACTGGGATGATCACCCTACAAGGCGCAGACACAATAACTGTAGTAAACCTGTACATAATATTGACCCCTTGGGTACAGGTTTGCCTCTTAGGTGAATAAAATCATCTGGTGGTGACCAAATAGAATATTAAAAGTGACATCCCTGTAGTGAAGAGGTTAGTGGATATAGTCTACTAGCCCCTTGTGTATGGGGTTGCCTTTGAGCTGAATAGGACTGTATGTAGTGAAAGGATTAATATGGAAATGACTTTGTTAATATAGACCAAACAGCTGAACCAGAAATTTGACCTTAAATAATTTTCTAAGCTTATGTATAGAACATTCCTTGCACTAAGACACCTAAAATTAAAACAGTGAAATGCTGAGTGGAGACTCAATTGTTACCGCAAGCAATAATGAGTAGGATGACACATAAACAAACACTATGTTAGGCTGTAAGTCATGTCATGTTTATTGGGTGTGCCTGCCCGTATACAGTGTGTAGAGTGTTGAGATGGTTGAAGATGAGAGACCCAGAGGAGGTGAGGTGTTGGGTGGTAGTAAGGGAGCTTGTTTGTGTATAATCACCTGACTCAGCAGACCTCACCCATCGAGAGAGGGTTGGGGAGGCGGCAGGGTGTATCGGCACTGTAGCTATTCAGACCACAGAGGCAACACCTAACCTGGTTTCTCTTGAGACTTTCAACACGTAAGTTTAACTGGTACTTATTGTGTACACAGGTAGACTGTGTCCATTGCTTCGTTTATCATTGTGACGACATAAAAATATGGAAAATTAAGTACTCATTGTAAGTGTTAAGATTAGACTGATTACATAGCTATGATTGTTATGTAAATATATATTGGATTAGACATTTATGTGATTGCCTATGTATGATTTATGTGAAATACTAAAGGGAATTGTATCCAACAGGTTTGACCGAATTATAATGTTTGAGTCCAACGTCACAAGTTTCACTGAATCCTCTAACCGCCTGACTGGCGGTTACACAATAATTTAGTTATTTTATATTATATAACATGAATGTGACAGACAAGTAAATATAATACAGTATATACACTGTACTTGTTTATTTAAGAACCCTAAATTATTACTATACAGTATGTAAAGTGTTATAGGACATGTAATAAATAGAAACCTAAAGATCAGGAAGAATAGTCTTATCGTTTATGTTCTTCTCAATGATCAGACTTAATTCATACTGATTATTGGGCTCCTGTTTACTGCTCATTCTATAACGTAATATTTATTTAAGGTTCTCGAATAAATAAAATGACACTTTATTTGTGACTACCAAAAGTTAACCAAAGTAATAATCTATTGAGAATATTAAAACTGAATAAAATACATAATCCAAACAATAAACCTTACCCTGTTCTTAAAAGTGTGATGGACATTCTCTCTCTGACACAGCCGGTGTATGAGGTTAACCAGGTCGAGGTTGGGCAGCTGACCATTGAGTCCTTCCACCTTAACATCTATATGACTCACATGTGAACTGTGTAGCTCAAGATTTATGGCAGCCTGTAATAACAATACTTATAATATACTGAACAAGGTGTTAAATAATTGCATTTATTCAGTAAACAACTTAAATTAATTACTTCAGGACAGTCCCTATGAGTAACCTTTGGTTATTCTTGTGTAACATTCAAAAGAAAAGTTTTTCGTTCATGCCAAAATCACAAAAATGTAGGACCCAAATACTTAACAGTACAGTACTGTCGATTCAATGTAAGTACAGTAAGTCCTCGCTTAACATCGGGGTTACATTCCTAAAAATGCGACGTTATGCCAAACAACGTTAAGCGGATCAATTTTCCCCATAAGAAATAGATAAAATACAGGAGTTACGTTCCTGAGCCTTTCTTTGCCCCATGAAATACATTGCATATACAAAAAATCATAGCCATTTCTACAGAAAATAATGCATGCATATACAACTTCAGGTTATACCTCTCTAGTCCGGCATTGTGGTCCGGAACGTTTTTAGTTTGCCCATGGAGAAAATTAATTTAAGTCTGGTACTTTTGATGTTTGGCTAAATTTTGCCTTATTTACCCTACTTTTTGGGCGAATTACTACCTTTAATAAAGCAACATCCTAATAAACCAACGAAAATAGCACAGATAAAGTTAAATAAAAACTAAAAACAACACAGAAAAAGTTTTTATGTTCTACAGCTTCAGCTAGAGTTGAACCTAATGACTTGGCAACTTCGTCATCCGAGTAAAAACACACACAACAACATTGGCTGTGCTTATGTTTTCAACTTTACCACCACTGGTGAGTAGAATTTTTGTTTTAAATTCAGAAACATCAATTAAAATATATACAGCTACTCCACGACTTACGACATACTCGACCTACGACCACCCGGATATATGACCGCCTCAGTCGTACCAAAATTTTGTCAAATTACATATTTTTGAGTCCCAACGTTAGTGATTGCGATGTGTACAGTAAAAGTCCAAAAATCCGGATGCCAGAAATCCGGACCACCCGAGAATCTGGACTTTTCGAAAACTCAATTTTTTATTTTATTTTTTTTTAATTTAGCTGGCTTTTGTTTATGTGCGCATGCATGAGCGCCACAGCTGCACAGCAACAACAAGAGACCATGCGGTCGCCACTTTAAAACGAGCAACCAAACTGTGACAACGTATGCAATTTTGAATCCTACTCTTTCCATTTACAGAGTATTGTACAAGCCCATAATAATGGCTCCTAAAGTATATAAACTTCGTTGTGTGAAGAGAAAGAAGAACACGTTGAAATTGAGTGACAAACTTGAAATAATTAAGAAAGAAGAACTTGGTGTGAGCAATACTATTCTAATGGAAACATACGACATTGGAAAGTCTACAATTTGTGATATAAAAAAGGCAAAGAATAAAATTCTAGAATGCACAGCCTTTACTTTAAAACTGCTCATTTTGATAAATAAAGCATGCTATATTTGCTAATGAATAAACTATCAAAATGTACCTGTTCATCTCTTCTTTATTCCTCCTTAAATTTGATTTTTAAAAGTACTGCCTGAGAATCCGGAAAATCCGAAAATCCAGACTGACCCAATCCCCAAGCAGTCCGGATTTTTGGACTTCTACTGTACTGACAAAATTTTCGTTTGTAATTCACTTAAAACTGGCTGGCAAGCTTAAAAGTGAGAGTTTTGTGGTACTGAGAAGAAAAAGAGACATCCATTTTAGATTTTCTATGTATTATTTAAGAATTTTCGACTTACGACCAATTCGACTTATGACCTGGACTTGGATCCCTAACCCCGTCGTAAGTCGGGGAGCAGCTATATGAACAGTAAATAAGTGTTGCTTTCATATTCTTATGTCGAGTAATGACGATATGTTTTCACATGTGAGCACTTACATACACGCAGTCTCACTTTTTTTCTTTACCATTAATGGTTAGCTACTTTTATTGTTCCATTTATTAACATTACATAACATTACTTAAGACAACCATATTAATTTTTTACATTAATTTTACTCCAGCTATAACCAGGGTCTTATTTTCTTCAGTTTTATATGTAGAACCAATCAGTCACTGGTTTTGAAATCAACGAAAACAATGCGGTCTAATGTCCTGGTGTGTTTTAATATTCTACGTATTATTAATGAATTGTATTGTTCATTTTGCACACAAACATAATTCAATCAAAAAGAAATTAAGTAATAAACAATAATGAATCTTTAGTACACAAGAGAAATGACGCTGTTTACACGATTGTGCACGTCTGAACGTTGGCGGGCCGCTCAAACCCGTTGGAATTCGAGTTTCCGCAGTGCTTTTTTATTTTTGTGTCCAAATAAAAAACGTTGAATTAAAAACTCACAAAATTTGAGAACCTACTGTACAACATTTAACCTTTCAATATGTCTTCAAAGAGACCACGAAGCAGTGAAAGTGGTGCTAGTGCTTCCAAGCGAAAGCACAAGTCACTATCTATCCAGAAACGGGTGAATATCCATGGTCCGGCACCGGTCAGGTCCCGAGGTTGCCGGACTAGAGAGGTACATCCTGTACAAAGTTTGTATTGGTACTCACTGATGGACGGAGGTGGTAGAGTGAGTGTGTGGTGGGTAATAAAGCAGAGGAGGTGGATGGCGGGTGGAGAGGAGGAGTATGGCGGGAGCGGAGGAGGGCAGGAGAGGAGGAGGGTGGCGAGTCACTGAAACTCTGCGCCAAGCAGAGAGAGCATAGCGAGGCCAGACGAGAGAGAGTGGTGCGCCGTAGAAAGTAGTCCGTAACGATGCAAAACGACATAGTATCCGATCGCCAGAACGTTAAACAAATTTTGGGTTTCTAAAGTTTAGTGACGTAGTACCGAAATAACGCTAAGCGGGACGACGTTAAGAGCGGACTTACTGTACAGTATATGGTAGCAGTGGTAATATACAGCAGTACAGTATATGATAATAGTAGTAGCAGATGTCCATGAGGTGATTGAGAGACAGCCACCACAGTGGAATGGCATGTCGATGGAAAATGCAGACATATGGGTTAAAGAAACTTAGAAATTGTCAGGTGGTCGCCAGCTAACCTGTTTGAACCACCTAAGTGTGCGGCAACCAAAGAAATGATTCGGGAGATGATTCGCCTCATAACTGATTACACTCAGGACTGCTTCCTGGCCCCTTTACCTCTTCAAATACTGGCAATAATACCACATCTATTCTGTCAGAGGACACACACAAACACTAAGCACCAAGAAAATGCAGCAGCAATGAAGAGAAGATTGACAATGTGGCAGAATGGGGCCCTTGATGATCTTCCATGTGAAGCAAGAACAATGCAGGAGAGACTAAAATTTACAGGTGACGGAAAGCAAAACACCGATGACGTTGCAAGAAAGTTTGGAAACAAAATGCGTGTGGGAAAAGTGTCTTTGGCAGTAAGATCTCTCACAGAGGAATCCTCCGGTGGGGTTCTGCCAACAAACAGAGAGACATTAAAACAACTGAAAGAAAAACATCCCCTGCAAGTGAAGACGAAGGCATCAGGTTCCAGGGTGACTATATCCCACCAAACGCTGTCCTGTTCGAGAAAATAACAGGAGGGATGGTGTGGAAAAAGGCACTGAAGACTCGAGGAGGAGCCGGCCCTTCAGGTCTGGATGCAAACGGTTGGAGAGTCATCCTCAGCAAGTGATCTCTGCAATGCCATTGCCGTTCTTGCAAGAAAGCTGGCATCCTCTTGCTGCCAACACCTCCATGCTCTGACGGCCTGCCGCCTCATTCCCCTGGATAAGAATCCAGGATGTAGGCCTATAGGGGTGGGGGAAGTGCTGAGGCGGATCATCGGAAAATGCATAATGGAGGTGGTAAAGGATGATGTCAGGGCAGCACCAGGGAACCTGCAAGTTTGTGCTGTCCAGCAAGCTGGTGGGGAAGCTGCTATTCAAGCCATGAGAACGATATTTGAGCAGTGTGATTGTGAGGCCGTTCTCCTGGTGGACGCTTCAAACGCATTCAACATACTGTACTTAACCGCAAGGCCGCACTGCACAACATGAAGATCAAGTGTCCAAGCTTTGCAATGTAAGTTGAAAACTCCTATAGGAATCCATCAGACCTTTATATAGTTAACAACAAGGCTCTAAGAGGTGATACCATCATCGCAGGGGGACCCTGTTGCAATGGCAATGTATGCAATAGGTCTATCCGTGCTCCAACACACAATAAAATTTGAAACAACTGAGGTCAAACAAGTGGCATACTCTGATGACCTTACAGGAGCAGGAAAAGTGGAGGACATCAAAAAGTGGTGGGACCTGGTAACATCGTGAGGCCCACAAATAGGGTACCACCCAAACGCCAGCAAGTCCTTCCTCATTGTGAAGCCAGAACATTATGAACGGGCAATGGAAGTGTTCGGTGGAAGTGAGGTCAAAATAACAAAGGATGGCCAAAGACACCTAGGCGCAGTAATCAGCACGACAGACTTCAAAACCGAGTACGTAACGGGAAAGGTGAATGAGTGGGTTAGGGAAATCCAAGCTCTGTCTGATATTGCTAACACAGAACCACATGCGGCTTTTGCGGCATTCACCCATGGAGTCAAGCATCGCTGGAACTACCTGATGCGGACTATCCCTGATATCGGACCCCTCCTTCATCCTCTGGAAGAAGCTATCAGCGTCAATTTCATTCCCAAATTAGTGAAACACCCTCACTTATCCCCAGCAGAAAGATCACTCCTAGCACTACCACCGAGACTGGGAGGTATGGGATTGACCAATCCAGAGGAGATTGCTGCCACCAAACTCAGTTAAGCTCACGGCAGCCCTCATGGACCACAAAATAGCTCAGAACGCAATGTCAGTGATTGTGCTGTGTACTGACAAAATTTTTGTTTGTAATTAAAAAATTCAAGATGTTACAATTGTCAGCATATTGGACATATTTCTCCTGCCTGTGAGAAAGAAATTACAGCCCTGCCAAAAGTGATAAAGGTAGAGTATATGTCGTTGAAGTGGATGAGAAGGAAATGAAAAACAGTATTCATGAGAGTGTTAGTAATTTTGAACCTGATAATGATGAGAGTGCCCATGTGTTTACTATTTACAGTACACCAGTCATGAGGAGAAAGTTAAACATAGGTATAATGTGGACTTGTGCATTAATGACACACCTGTAACCATGGAAGTGGATACTGTAGCTGATTTCTCCATAATGAGTAGAGATATGTATGAGAAGCTATTTGCTCATGTGCCTTTAGAAGACTCAGGTGTCAAGTTGAAAACTTATACTGGAGAGATTTTGAACACAGAAGGTAAATTAGAGTGTGAGGTAAAGTACAAAAATCAGAATTTAAAGTTGCCATTAATTATAGCTAGTTTTGTGAATAGACCAACTTTGTTAGGTAAGAACTGGTTGTGTGAACTTGAGATGGACTGGAAGGAGATATTTAGTGTTAGAATGTGTAACAGTGTTCCAAGTCTTGAGAAATTGCTTGAAAAATACAAGATTTTATTTGTTAAGGGGCAGGATGGTATAAAGGGTTATAAAGCTCATATCACCATTGACAAAGATGTTACACCCATATATGCTAAGTCCAGACCTGTTCCTTATGCATTGAAAGGTGAGGCTGAGAAGGAATTAGACAAACTTGTGAGTGAGGGAATTATTGTGAAAACTGCCAAGAGCAATTGGGCTGCTCCTATAGTAATTGTACCTAAAGCTGATAAATCTGTTAAGACTATGTGTAGAATATAAAGTTACCATTAATCAAGCTGTTGAGGACGAGCAACATCCCTTACCCACATCTCAAGATTTGTTTGTTGCACTAACAGGTGGAATCATTTTCACTAAGTTAGACTTGTCCCAAGCATATGCTCAGGTCTGTGTTGATGCTGAAAATCAACAATACCTTACCATCAACACTCATAAATGATTGTATAAGTTCAAAAGGTTGCCTTTTGATGTTAAAAGTGCACCAAAGTTATTTCAGTGCATCATAGACAAAATTCTTGTGGGGCTTCCCAATGTGTTATGTTTTCAGGATGATGTTCTTATTGTTGACAGTGACATCCAAAATCATGTCAAAACCCTAACCACAGTATTCGAAAGATTGTTGGCACACAATGTCAGGCTCAACAAGTGCAAATGTTTATTCTTAGCTAAAGAAGTAACTTATCTTGGCTACAAAGTGAATGCAGATGGGTTGAGACCTGTAGAAGATAAAGTAAGAGCCAAAAAATGTCAGTGAATTGAAAGCTTTCCTGGGTATGATACAGTATTATTCAAGGTTCATGAGTGGACTTTCATCAGTTTTAGCCCCTCTGCATGAACTGTTAAAGAAAGGGATTCCATGGAAATGGAACAGTGCAACTCAGAAGTCATTTGAAGATTGTAAAGCTGCTGTTTAGTACTGATGTTTTGGTCCACTATGATACCAGTAGAACACTAAAGCTTGCTTGTGATGCATCAGGCTATGGATTAGGTGGTGTCATAAGTCACATAATGGATAACGGTGAAGAAAGACCCATTGCATACGCCTTGGAAACTCTTACCCAAAGCGAGAAAAATTATGCACAAATAGAGAAAGAGGCTTTGTCTATCATATTTGGAGTAAAGAAATTTCACCAGTATTTATATGGGAGGAATTTTGTCTTAATAACTGATCACAAGCCTCTCTTGGCAAATTTTGGGTCCTAAATCACCTGTTCCTACACTTGCTGCAGCAAGAATGTAGAGATGGGCTGTGATATTGTCGGCATATGACTATGAGATACAGTACAGACGTTCAGAGGATCATTCCAATGCAGATGCTTTGTCCAGGTTGCCATGTAGTGGATCAAATGAAGGAGTTGAGCCTAAGGTTTATGCTGTAACCATGTTAGCAGAAGATTTTCCAGTCACCTCCAGAATGATTGCTCATGAAACTAGGTAAGATGTTGTATGTATTAGGAAGAGTCCTGGAGGATACACTAAATGAATGGCCAGAGATTTGTCCATCAATAGACTTTCAACCGTATCATTTAAGGAGATGTCAATTATCAGTAGAACAGGGATGTGTGTTGTGGGGTATGAGAGTGTTAATTCCACAGTGTTTTAGAGGGCAAATTTTGAATGAACTGCATTTTGAACATCCAGTTATATGTGCTATGAAAGCATTGGCCAGAAGTTTTGTTTGGTGGCCTAAACTGGACGGTGAAATAGAAATGATGGTACGTGAGTGCTCTGTTTGTCAGAATGTTAGGAGTATGCCACCCAGCACACCTTCGAAAACCTGGAAATGGCCTACCCGTCCCTTCCAAAGAGTACACATTGACTTCTGTGATAAGGGAACAGACAAATTTCTTGTATTAATTGACAGTCATTCAAAGTGGATTGATGTTAAGCACATGTACAGTACTAATGCTGGTAGCACCATTGATGAGTTAAGATTAGTATTTGATGAGCATGGAATACCAGAAGAGGTAGTATCTGACAATGGTCCTCCATTCCAACCATCAGAGTTTAAAAACTTCATGAGATTCAACGGTGTAAAGCATGTACTGACCCCACCCTATCATCCTGCCTCTAATGGTGCAGCTGAGAGATCAGTTAGAATTGTAAAGGAAGCACTTTCCAAGCAGGTAATTCAAGGAACTGTAGGAAAATCAACGAAACACAGACTAGCAAATTTCTTACTCAGATACAGAACCACGCCACATAGTGTGACAGGATGTACTCCTGCAGAGTTAATGATGAAGAGACAATTGAGAACAAGCTTAAGTTTAGTTAAGCCAAGTCTGTTTGAAGTTGTAGAGAGGAAACAAGCTCAACAAAAAATGTATCATGATAAGAGTTCCAGTGAAAGAGCGTTCAAGGTAAATGATAGGGTGAGAGTTAGGAACATGGCTAAAGGTTATGCTACTGTACATGCAAAGTGGATAACTGGTGTCATTGACAAGGTATGTGGATCTAGGACATATTTAGTGAAATGTGGTAACTCTTTGAGATATGTTCATGTGGATCACATCATTCTGGCACATGATGAGATGAATGTAGCACCAGGACATGATGATAAACTTGACACAGTTTCAGATGATCATCATGATGATGAGGTCAAAGATGATGTTTCCCAGCATCCACTCACTGTGTCAACTGACTGTAGTGATGATACATCTGTCACTGATAATACACAGAGTGCATGTGAAACCCCTGTAAAACTTGATGGAGGGAATAGTCCTAGAAGATCAAACATGGTTAGGAGACCTGTAATTAAAGACCTCTAATTATCTGAATTGTGAACAGGCCTTTCAAAACTGTTTAGTTAGGAAGTTATATTTCTTGTGTTCTATTCTCTTCTTCCCTGCCATATGTAATTCTGTAAGTTTTGTTTATTTAGGATTTGTAGCAGCCATGCTCTCTTTTGAAAGGGAGAAATAGTGTTATATATGTGTATGTTTATATGCTGCCTTTATTGATTATATATACATTATATATTATGTTACTTCTTACCAAAGTTAGAATGTGTTTAGGCCTGTGTAATCACGAATGTGTTAGGCACGTTGTACACAACAACAGAGAATAAACGCCCTAAGTAAGAACAAGCATGTGGCTTCTCATTCTCCCATTAAATCATGTAAGATACTACACTAGTCTTGTATCTCAGTGACTGTAACATATACTGTATGAGACATTCACCTGTATGGCTCCAGCCCTGCCTTCAAGGTCTCCGTGGTCGAGCACTCCAGCTCCACTCTGAGTACGATGGTATGCTTGTAGCCACGCCTGGGCGCCCAATTGTTCGTGTTCCGTCACCAGGAAGATCAAGTCCTTCGCCCAGTACACTTGAGCTATGAATCACAGAATAATGTTGAGACAAGTATGTCTTACTATATGTACTTACACCTAGTACAGTGGCTGGTGCATTTTGTGAGATGAGTGCACGTGACTGTACCACTATTTCAAGCATTTACAGTACAAGCACACACTGTCTCTAGTATATACATGTGGCTCCAGAGTTTGTAGAAGAAAATGAACAAATGCACTGTAATTGTCAAAGTCTGCAGAACTAACAGAGAACATGAATCACAGACTTTAAACTGATGCTCGGTGTTTCCTAGTTGTGGGGGAGAAGGGGAGGTGTGGCTGTGACGTACGGCCCATGAGTTGTACTGATTGACCCAACCGCTTCCTCACGTCATCATGCAACAACACCACTGGCCCAATATACACCCTTTCAAATAAACTAAATTTTCCTATACCATACTCTACTGTGTCCCCAAGTTCATAAGTCAATTTGTTCATAACTCAGAATCATGTTACTGTATAATTTTGCAATAAATTATGAATAAAACCATCCCTACTAAAACCAACCCTACTAAAACCATCCCTACTAAAACCAACCCTACTAAAATAATCCCTACTAAAACCATCCCTACTAAAACCATCCCTACTAAAACCATCCCTACTAAAACCATCCCTACTAAAACCATCCCTACTAAAACCATCCCTACTAAAACCATCCCTACTTAAACCATCCCTACTAAAACCATCCCTACTAAAACTATACCCTACTAAAATCATAACAATTATAACCCACAAATAACAAGGAACATAAGAAATAAATGTAAATAAATGTACAATATATATACAGTATTATTTATTATGTTAACCCCTGAAGATGGCTGCCTCAGCTTTCTCCCTCACCTTAACTAAGTCTAACTTGGTGTGAAGGGTAAGGGTCTAATGCTTCTTGGGCTTTAGGATCTTGGGTGTTGAAAACTCAGATACCCTCTATACTGAGGAACAACCGGCATCTTGGAATATTGTTCATTCTTTTCTATAAACTCTGCGGATATTTGTTACCAAAGAAAACAGATTGTCACATACATGTTGAGGTCGATAATAATAGCTTCAATGCCTAACAGGTAAGACACAGGTGCCCCCAGTTTTAACTATCACTACAATGTGAAGGTGTTTAGTAACATATATCTGTACTGTGTGTGAGCATTGAATAAAAAGGTGGTGGAAATGGGATTGGGAGCATTAATGCATAAGTTGTGGAATGATTCCCTATTTTTATTTGTTTTATGCACTTTCACGTTATGTGCACTTTTTTGGAATGTAGTCCTTCTGTACAACAAGGAATGCCAGTAATTACTGGAGAACTCTAGTCCAGTCTTATGGTGGTCTGGACATGTAGGTGTCAGCCGTTCAGTGCTACACCATGTTACTGTACAGGGGGTCCCCGACTTACAAATACCTGCCAACACGAATGGGGTTAAACTTGAAATTTACAGTACAGTATCTTATTTACCTGATGACTTTTTTTTACTTTCATTAACTGTATTCTGTTACTCTACTTCTTCTTTTCTCTTAAATTAAGTGATTTTAGATGATTCTAAGGACTTAGGCTGTGATATACGTAGTGGGATTTTAAACATTGTTCTGTCAATATGTTATGTACACAGCATTTGTTCCAACTTACTTACAAATCCGACTTAGGAACATCCTCAAGAACAGAACCCGTTCATAACCCAGGGACCCCCTGTACATAAACTGTCATACAAGAAATAGAAAATCATTGTACAGTTAAACCTCCATTTAACAGACTACTTATGAGAGAGGACAGTCCACTAGATCGTGGTCTCACTATATACGCACTTGAGAAAAAATGAGCCATGGCGAGCATAAGAGCTATAGACGGTGCCGTGCCCTGGAGGAGAGACGATGGGGGACGGTAGGGAGCAGACACCACTACTGCCTCCGTGCTGCTGCCTCGAGACGCTCGTAGGATGCCGTAGACATTCTTTCCAGTAAAAATCTGTGTAAGAAATTAAACTAAAATATTACAGTGTCTCCATGTATCTTATACTGTAACTCATAACTTCTACTTACCAGAATCACATAAAAAAAGATGATTCAGTAACGTAGGAATTAAGGCAAAAAATCATGTTTTTTCCGACTTAGATCCCCTTTTGATCTCATTTTCTCTGTTTGTCAACCTAACTCCATAATGACATAGAGGAGAAATAGAGATAAATTCCTTACATACTCAACTCACAGTTAGTGTAACTAAACACATCAAAGCTGCTACATAACTTCTGAATGTTTCTTAATACTGTACTGTACTACTAAACTTTATTCCTCATGCAGTCTCATCAGTAAAAGTCATCTTGAGTACTTCTTCCGCAGTGATATCCCCGTTAGCCGGAACAATTGGTGCAGAGCACTTCCGGGGATGAGAGATTTCCGACTTACCAGAAGACTTTCTCAAACCCGGAAAAATTCCTTATCCCCGGAATATTTTCCGGTTACTGGGAAAAGTTTCCGAGTGTCTAAACTAGACATCTTGCACACACAGACACTAGCCCACTACCACAGAATATTTCTGGGTGCTGGGGATGTTTTCCTCGAATTTAAACTACTGGAGTTCGTAAATGCAGTTCTAATTAAGTTTGGTAAAATAAATATATTTGAAAATTAAAAATCTATATGATATGGGCGTGAATGAAACTGTGTGTTACAGCAAAGACTGGGGCTTTCCACTCCCATGGAGCTGTGGGGGATTAGTGGGTCTTGTGTACCTGACCTGACTCAATGTCAGGTGGAGGTAGGGTGTAGGATTAGTGGTCTCATATTATAATAATAATAATAATAATTAACGGTTTATTGAAAGAGCTTGGCAGCCAGAAGGCTGAAAATATACAGTTACATATTTGGGGAATGGGTTACGAATTACAAATAATATACAAGTGACATAAGTGACACAAATAAGACATATAGTAACTTAGATGGGGATCAGCTCAAACTACAGTTCATTTCAACATAGTGACAGTGTAGGGAGCAGTGTTTACTGGGAGTGAATACACTGATTTATTACATGTTATTGATAATTTTACAATGGTTGGGACTGGGCTGTTCTTATAGCGATCAGTTCGTGCACGTATGGGCTGGATGCGGTTGTGGTGTCGAACAGCAATTCTCGGACAGGGGATCTCAGGTGGTAGTAGGGGCCGGTGTCGGGATGGTGTAGAAGCTTCTTACCAAATTTGCAGATGAGGCCGTGGTGATGGTCAGTGAGAGTCGAAAGGGTCAGTGTGTTGAGCGCTTCTTGATATGTGGAGTAGGAAGGGGAGAGAATAATCTTGCATGCCCTCTTTTGCACTTTTTCTAGGTGTTTACGTTGTGTGGCATTTAGGGAGGAAGACCAGGTGGGGGAGGCATAGGTGAGCTTGGGAAGTATGAATGTTGTGTATACACTGAGGAGCTCGTGTGGGACCTACTGATGGAATGTCAGGTCACCTTTCACCCGGGGAATTAGTGGGTCTCATGACCCAAAGATGTCTTGAATAAACACTATACCTAAAGTATTTTTTGAGAGATTGTGATAAGTAGTAGGTAGTAAGCAGCTACCAAACAGGAAGCATAATGTGTTTTCTAATGCTAGACCCTGCTGCCACATGGCATCACGAAAGTTCTGACCAAGTCCCAGGTTGCTGATCTGACTTTCTGCCTCATTTACACACAATTGCAGGGTCTCAATTGTTTCTCTTACTTGGACAACACAACATACATAATGTACCATATATCGTTTCTCACTCTTGATTTATTTTTTCGTTTTTGTATTTATTTATGGTTATTTTTATTATTATTTATTTATTATTTTTGTTTATTAGTATTAATTTGCTATTAATTTTATTAATTGTTGTAATTATAATAATAATAGATATTATTATTATTTATTATTATATTTTTGGCCCCCCCCCAGGCCCCAATGTGGGTCAGTGACCTGTGCACGGGTGGGCTAATCCCCGTAAAAAAAAAAAGAGTATAAGTATAAATGAGCAAAGTTGTATCCCTTCAACATTACATAACATTTTAAAATATGGAGTGAGAAAGCAGAAAGGTGTGGGTAATTAGAGAGATGAAGTGGATATGAGTGTTGCCAAGCACTCCTCAACAGCTGATATTTAACTCACAGTCTCACACACACATAAATCTGTCACACAAGACCCTCACTCCTTATGTCTGCTGTCTTAATTCCCTTGTTGGGGGTATGTAAGTGGTGTTGGAGCTGTGATGGTGGGGTGTGGCTGAAGAGTGTGGTAGATGAACATTTTTGGGGAGTGAGGGGGAGAGGGTCGCACAGTCACTTTTCTCCCCCTTCCTCACTCAAGCATGGAAAACTGTGATAGGGTGATGAATTTGATACCATAATGATCCTTAATAAATTCTCCATGAAACATTTCCAATAAGATATCCTTAAACAAAATATTTCTATGTGATAGAGTGATGGGAATTCCATTCTTTTATAAAAAAAAACGAAAGACATATTGATACGGAGTCAGAAAAATCAGTTTTAATTTTGTTAGACACACCATTTTTTTATCAAAATAATCCTGAATACTTTATCTCAAAGTTAGGTTAAATAAATATATTTAAAAACAAAAACTCCATATGGTAAGAGGGAAAACAGAACTGTTTCTTTTATCTTCACCACTGATCGGCTTGTAAGTCACTTGGGTGATTGGTCACGTCTCTGTTACACACTTCACTCAATTGACTGTAATACATAACTACAGGTACTCCCCGACTTACGACGGGGTTAGGGACCGACATCCAGGTCGTAAGTCAAAATGGTCGTAAGTCGGAAATGCTTAAATAACACATAGAAAATAAAAAATTTGGGTCTCTTTTTCTTCTCAGCACCACAAAACACTCACTTTTAAGCTTACCAGCCATTTTAAAGTGAATTACAAATGAAAATTTTGTCTATGTACTGACTTTGGGACTCAAAAATACATAATTTGACCACATTTTGGTACAACTGAGGCGGTCGTAAGTGCAGGTGGATGTTAGGGTGTGACAGTTGCCCCAACTTTGTCCTACAATGCTGTTCAAAATTTTGGTGTTGTATATTGACATAAAAAATACCCACGTGCAATTTTTTTAAGATTCTTGCATATTTGAGTGAGCTCCAGCAATTTGAAAAATAGCGATTTTGCTTATACGGCATACGAGCTTATATATGACACACACGACAGGAGGGTGTTACTCCGACAATACCCACACTAACACACACGAGAGGCGGGTGTTACTCCGACAATACCCACGCTGACACACACGAGAGGCGAGTGTTACTCCGATAATACCCACGCTGACACACACGAGAGGCGGGTGTTACTCCGACAATACCCACGCAGCAACTGAAGACAGAGGTAGGAATGAGATGGCGAGGGTAATTAACGCGCACGCATGCACGCGCACACAGGAATTAAGACAACAAGCGTACAGTGAGGGTCTTGTTGTGTGACTGCATGGAGGCAAATTAAAGATCAGCTGTTGAGGAGCTTATCGCTTGGCAACACTGGTGCACTTACCACTCCTTTCCACTCCATCTCTCTAATCACCCACACCTTTCTCACTCCATATTTTAAAATGTTATGTAATGTTGAAGGGGTTCATTTATATTTATACTTATCACAATCTCCCTAAAAATACTTTAGGTTTCATGTTTATTCAAGACATCTTCAGGTCATGAGATCCACTGATCCCCCACCCAAGAAAGGGTGACCTGACATTCCATCAGGTCAGTAATATGAGACCACTAATCCGCCACCCTACCTCCACCTGACACTGGGTCAGGTCAGGTCCCCCCAAAATAGCTTTTGTGTTTATTCAAGACTTTTCAGAAAATGCTCTTGAATTTCAACTCTGGAATTTTTTTTCCTAAAGCCAGAAATTTTTTGATAATTACGGCTTTGGGAATGATTTTCCGCGCAAATTTCAATTCCGGCTATCGGAGATTTCCGGGTTTGAGGGATTCCGGGTAACGGAGATATTACTGAATTACAATATACCTCTTAAAAAATTACATTAATTCTTCATTTACCTGCAATGTTCCTCAGAAAAACAATAAAAGTACATCTTCCATTAATTACTATACACTATTCCTTTTCAAAATAAAAAAGACAAGAAACTAACCGTTTAGAAAAAATCAATGGTAACCTCTTTTTATTAGGCAAAAACTCCAAGTAAATATTCTGCCCTGGGAATTATTGTACTGTACTGTACATCCCACTAACTATACAGTAAGTGTCATAACAGTACTGTAGTTAGTTGTAAATATTGTACAGTAAAGTTAACTGTAAATACAGTACAGTTATACTGTAATTGTGAATACACTACAGTACTATACAGTTAATTGTATACATTGTACAGTACCTTGTCTTTCCCCATGGGGTAGTGAAGAGTAAAGTTATGGGTGAATGTGTCCAGGCCCAGCTGGGTGAACTGAGCAGCCAGCCAGGGGTAAGGCATACCCGACGCGTGCTTCTCGGCCTCCTCAGTCAAACTCTAAAATACAAAAAAACGTTTGTTTATTCCTTAATGTGAATAATATTTTTTGGGGGTTAACACTTTCACTACAGGGGTGCCACTTTCAATTCTTATTTGGCTAATGCCAGACGATTTTATTCAGCAAAGAGGTGACATCGTACACAAGGGGTTAGCCACTGATCAGCTTACGAGCTGTTCGGGGAGTTGGTGTATCAAGTGTTAGTACAGGAGGAAACCGGAGTACGGGAGATACGAGCGCTACTGCTGTGCCACCAACTCTTATCAAAATCACAATTAGTATCAGTATATGATAATTTACCTCACATTCTCAAAATCCATTTTACCTTTAAGAATTGTTGCTTTCAATTCCTGATCTTTTAGCTTCCCTTTTACTGCACAGTACTTGTTACTGCTCCCTATGCCTATATTGTACCTTACCAAAGCTGTCCTTGTGAATAAATTACAGGCAACTCTTAAATCTTTACACACATTCCTATTTTATAATGTTAATAACTGGCAACTGCTTCACTTTCCTAGTACTGAAAGCCCTAAAAATGGATTATTTCAGAGCTCATGGACATATTTAATTCGAGTGATTTCACCTTAAACAACTGAAAACACAGGATCTACAACAGTCAGATACTCACCTCTAAGTACTGCACCGCTTGAGAGTCACCATGGAAGTCCCCCTGCACTAGTCCTGGCAGCAATGCATTCTCAGAAAAGTAGGTCCCTAGAAATCAAGACATGGAAACTTGAATGATCAGGAAATATCTTCCAAAGAACTAAGCAGCGTGGAGATGAAAATAAAAGGATTAATGAGGTATAGAAAAATAAAACCCACCAATTTTTAACTAATGAGGATGAGACTCAGTACTGTATACAATTTCTATAAAATTGGACAAGGTTTTCAAGGGATACATTTCCTCGAATGGTCAGGCAAGTTGTCACAAACTCAAAATTATGAGGTAATTTTTATATACTGTAACTACAGTGTATTGTGGTACGTCTATATTTCAGACTTATTCGACTGACCCAAAGGCCCAACAATATCAAGTTACTGAAAGTTCAGAGTACAGTAGTACAGTATATAATACAGTACAGTACAATACAGTACAGTACAGTATTTAATTTTACCAAACACAAAAGGCATTATTTTAAGAAACAAAATTAAAGAAAAATTATGACTCACCATGATTCAGGGAGTTATGGGCTAATGCCATGAACCACACAATGCCCACAACATAAAGGATCACACAAATGGGGCGGTGATATTTCTCCAACAAGGCTGGCAGTTGGCTACGCTCCATACCAGGGTCAGTGAGTAAACCCATCCTGGACAACACCTGGCATTAACACTGGTCAACACCTGCAGCATCAAAAAGAACACATTATTATACAAGCAAGTTTATGCCTGGACACATTAATATCTACATATCTCCTGAAGATTAACTCCCCCAGATCATTTCACCTTATGATAAAACACCCTAATGCTGTCTGGTGGGGTTAGGTTACCATAACAAAGAATAGATTGCAGAACCATTTGTAATTTTTTATTTGAGAATGTTCAAAAATTAATTATAAAGTGATAAGTACACAACAATCATTTAACTAACTCTGATTTTAGCAGGAGTGAACACTCTTGGCCATGGTCGGAAATCACACCCCTCGCAGAGTCATTCGTTAACCGAAAATTTCGTTAACTGAATCTACTGTATTATTTCAATTGGATATTGGGTAATTGGTTCCAACTCACAGAAAAAGTACATACAAAGTACTGTATACCGGTAATAGAATTAACAAAACATTAAATATAAACTAAATACAGTACTGTACTGTACAGTATATTGTACAATAATAAAAAAAAATACTATAATACTGTATAAAGCATGAACAAATTTCTGACAGCATGACAATGAATGAGATCACACAACAATTCACCACCACAAGCAAAGTTTGCTATTCTAAAACACTATTTAACAGTTTTAGATGCAGATGTGCACCAGATAACCACACAGGGGAACAATACAACAGGAATAATACAAAACTATGAAAGCACATAGCAAAAATTGCCAAATCCCCAAACAATCTATGTCTTGTGAATATTCACCAATTCCTGTAAAGCTCTTACTACCATCTGTCGAATATGAGTTGCAATAAATCAGAATCAAAATTTTAATTGACAATCATTAATAAAAAATCATCTATGATTTAAGGTCAACATTGAAAATCCATCATTCTCAGATTTGTATAATTTACACAAGCATCACAATCGCCAGACTGGTTTTAATACTGACATTTGTTTACAAAAAGCTGGAACTGGAAAATCAAGGTCTTCATGCATGTCTAGACTCCTCCATGTATATAGTTTGTTGACTAATGACTATTTTAAATGCTTACATCACCCAGTTTATAAAATGAAACTGCCAAATCTATTAGCCTGAACTGTGTGAATTACAATTATTGTAAACTACACAGTGTGAAATATGTACCCCTGTACTTGAAATGCAATGTTTGTGTGATGGAATAATTAAGATACTTAGATAATAAGATGTAACCATTTTAAAGTGCTGCATTATATTTCACTATTTCACTGCACTTGCCTACAAGATTTACTGAATCTTTTGTGTAATTATAGATGAAGTTAATATATTAAGTATTATTTTACTTTCGGACATAGCGCCCACAAAAGTTATAAACTACTGAAACATTCAGATCTCCCTATTCTGAGAATTTTAAACCCCATAAATACATAGTGGAAATGGATAATAGCGATACAATTGAATTGAATTTATTTTCAGTATCAGCTCCTCCCCGACTTACGATGGGGTTAGGGACCTAAATCCAGGTCGTAAGTTGAAATGGTCGTCAGTCGAAAATGCTCAAATAATGCATAAAAAATCTAAAATAGGTGTCTCTTTTTCTTCACAGCACCACAAAACTCTCACTTTTAAGCTTGCCAGCCATTTTAAAGTGAATTACAAACGAAAATTTTGTCAGTACACAGCACAATCACTGACGTTGGGACTCAAAAATACGTAATTTGACAACATTTTGGTACGACTGAGGTGGTCGTATGTCCGGGTGGTCGTAAGTCGAGTAGGTCGTAAGTCAGGAGGAGCTGTAGTTCCAGTCTTCGTCTCTGTGAGGAGATGTTACCTGCACATCACGCACATCACGTCATTCAGTCGTGATCAATGAGGTATCGATATCATCACGCAAATTTTTTTTTTACTAATTACATTTGATTTTTTCAAAGGAAACAGCCTGGGTAACTTCATTGACCAGTCATAATGGCTGTGGTGGAGGTTGGTTGTCAATTGTGCTCCTACGATTATTTTAAGTTTATTGCCAAGTTTTACGAGAGACAATAATTGTATCCAATTCTCACATGTCCCTGGACCTTCCACTTCTAACTAAGGTATTGTGCTTTCGGATATGGCGCGCCCCAAAGTTTTTATCAACTGAAACATTTAGGTTAGTTTAAGCTAGGCCTACCGGGGGTCCAGTGAGGTAGCCCCCAGTTAGATGTTAAGTTAGTTAGGTTAGATTAGATGACTCATTTTTGTTTTCTCCCCCACCCAAAAACCCCAATTTCCCAGGCTCTCCCCCATTATTGTGGGGGGGAGGGGGGAGGGGCAAAAACTAGCAATTTCTGCCAAAACTGAAGGTCAGGTTCGTTTAAAACACTCCAAAATACACTGAAAAAACATATTGGTGAACCCCTCAGGACTCATGTCCTAAAGTAAAAATTTACATATTTTATATAACTCTGCCAAACTGTGTTAAATTCAATTTTCAATTTTCACTAACCGGTTTTTGTTTGGATATTAAAAATATGTTTTTCCAATGTTATTTGATGAGTTTCAAATGGATTTGATATTAATTTCTGCCGGAAATCAATAGTTTCTGAGATCCCCCCCCTACCCATCATTCTTAATAAAAATGTTTTTGTTTTTTGTAAATCACATAAATAAAAATCCAACAAAACCTGACCTGACCTAACCTACCACTATTTTTCTGATGAAACCCCGCATCTTACGAAAGTAATCTCTATCACAATGTCGGCACAGCTCTTTCCACCCATTCTACCATATCTGGTTATTCTGGCACTGAAAATAAAATCTCCTCCTCCGACTCACCTACGTATTGTTCATTGGCTAAGAAAAAACTCTTGCCCAATTATAAGTCTCCTATCACTATAGCCATAAGAAACTCCCACAACATCCCCCATGTGTGCTGTAGACGCTCAAAGCCAACACGGAGGTAAAGAGCACCGTGTGATGGGTGGTCAGACCTTCTGTGAGACGTAAACAGCAAATGGCCACACTTGTGACTAACCAAATCTAATAATATCTCGGTTATCCTTAATTTCTGGCAGAAATATCATAGAAGAAAAAGTCTTAGAATTGTCTAAACATTACAAGAAACATATTAATAACAGCGAGAGAATGACCCGTGAATGATTGAAATTTCACCAATTCAATTCTATTTTCATTTCATTTGGGGGCCCGCTTGTCTGAGGGGGGTCCGGGGCCCCTCCCTTAATCCGGCCCTGAATAGTTGGTAATAAGCTATAATAACGCTGTGACAGCAGCTACCTATGCATGGTAAATATACTCATAGGTATGGATTATCTCTTGAATTAGGTGCAAGTAACCTTGGGTACGAGTTATCTCGTGAGTTGTGTACGAGTTATCTTAGGTACGAGTTATCTTAGGTACGAGTTAACTTTTTGAGTACGATTTATCTTGGGTATAAGTTGTCTTGGGTACGAGATGACCCTAACCTCAGCTTGTATACCCACAGTCTGTATACCCACAGTCTGTATACCCACAGTCAGTAAACCCACACTGTCTGTATGGTAAAACCTGAAGTGATAGCTTACTGAATTAATATAACAATATCTAATTACCAAATTAACTACCGGTTTACCAATGATGTATATCAGCATTGTCTAGGCAACATAGTAAACTGTATACTCTCACTGTGTACCGTATACCTATCTGTTTATATTCATGCTACACTGCATACCTGAATAGTTTATATACATGTCTAGGCATTTGTAAACCAGTATAAAAGTTTTAGCGAATAAATATCATTATTTTTATTATTATTATCCATATTACCTTTAACGAGACGCCTCACAACACACACAGGCCGGGTTTGTTTACCTTCTGTAAGTGTTGCCAAGACGAAAAACTTCTGCTACATCCGCTAGATTTACACTTCGTTAATATTGTACCTACATTATTATTATTATTATTATTATTATTATTATTATTATTATTACTACTGGAGAAAGTTATTTTTTCATCTATTAAAACAAGGCACAATCATCCTTGCATATAACAACACATCAAAATCATGACTAAACTTAATATCTGTTATATATATATGAAAATTAAAATATACTGTACATTTTGTAAGTATTAGAGGTAAATATGTGTTTATCCTCTACTAGACCGTGTTAACATACCCACCCGGGCACAGTTCACTGACCCACACCAAGGCCTGGGGGCGAAAATGTAATAATAATAATAATAATAATAATAATAATAATAATAATAATAATAATAATAATAATAATAATAATAATAATAATAATAATAATAATAATAATAATAATAATAATAATAATGATAATAATAATAAAGGATCATAAGTGAGAAATAATATACTGTATGTATGTTGTGTTGTCAATAGTAAGAGAAACAATTGAGACCCTGCAATTGTGTGTAAATGAGACAGAAAGTCAGATCAACAACCTGGGACTTGGTCACATATGGCAGCAGGATTTACCATTAGACAACACATTATGCTTCCAATATCTTTCCAGGCGGTAGTACCTCCCTGTTTGATAGCTGCCTACTGTCTATCTATCTATCTATCTACATAAGCTTCGAGGTTACCACTATCCCTAGTCAAGTGTGTCAGACCAGAGATGATATGACAGGATTACAGTGGAGGGAGGATTGGGAGGGAGGGAGGGAGGGTATATAGCGAAGTGGGGCCTCAGGGACAGGGAGGGTGAGGTTGTTTCTTCCAACTCGGACTTCCCGCCAACATTGAAAAGTTTCTTTGCAACTTTCTTGACAGCGGAAATGCCAGACTGAGGGAGGGTCAACACACAGGAGAGACCTTCCCACTCATAAGCGTAGTCCCTCAGGGCAGCGTCCTCTCTCCCATCCTATATATCATCTTCATGAGTGACACCCCGCCCATACTAGAATAGGAAACGAAGATATTATGTATGCAGATGACATTACTCAAATAACAACACATCGAGGAAAATCGCGAGCGTTACAGGTCGACAACACCAGACGGGAAATAGAAAGAGTAAATAATTACGAAAAACAATGGAAAATCCAAACCAGTCTTCCGAAGTTCACAGTGATACCTTTATGCAGGATGAAAGCCCTTCCATTACTAACCAATACCCCTTCACCAGAACCACAGCCGAGATACACAGAGACCTGAGAATAAAACCCATCAACCAGCAGCTGCACACCCTGGCCAGCAGAGTCTGGCAAAAGATAAAACGATCAAAGCAAGAGCTCCTTCAAAGACTCCCACCAGACAACGACAACAACCATACATGGTTCCCCCAAAAGTTGCCAAATCTCATAAGGTCCATTACCACCCCCAATCTATACGGCTAGGCAATAGACAGCCTCCCTTGACCAGCATCCGCCAGTAGGGTCGGTGCAAAATTATATAAGTCCCTCAAAACTTATTAGATAGTTTTGATTGTTAAATTTGGCAGATTAATTTCACGGAACATAAATTAACTCTGAGTGTCTCGTTTTTGGTGTAACATATAGTTGTCCTGTACTCAGCCTATGTATTCACAGCTCTTAAGTAAACAGAAAAACAGTTCGAGAAGTTGATTCCAAGTCTATAACCGCTGCAAGTTAATATATATTACAGAAATACAAATTCATAAGATTATTGTAAGAGGGTTTAAATCATCGCCCTCAGAGGGTTATACTTGCAAGCGAGCGGCCCGGATTCGATCCCAGGGCAGGGTGAAACTATGGGCAATTTTGTTTACGTCATTTGCCTCTGTCTACCCAGCAGTAATTGGAAACCTGGATGTTAATCGATTTTCAGATCGTGTTCCGGGGTAATGGTTAGCCATTGTAGTTGGCGAGTTGTCCGGTCTTCTCGGAGTATTCCTTAACACTGGGTCATGCAGCTCGTTAACTAAGGGTGTGGTTGTTGTATTGGCGACAGTTTCTACTCAAACAAATTCGCGCCTAGGTGGCCCTTAGGCAGGCAACCCTCGTTACACGAGGGGCAACCATTATATTATACCTATATTCATATTCCCCAAAGAGCTAAAACCGTATCTGCTATATCGTGGATGTTATAAATTTGTAAAGATAAAAAATATTTAGTAAATAAAACCATAACTTAAATTGGTATGACTTTCCTATACACTCGTGCAGGTATGAGCAGTGGTGGACACTCTGGTACGGGAGGGTGGGGGCCCGTGCTCAGGTCACAGTGCACTGGCCTCCACTACTCCCTCTTTTACCCCTCTAATGATCTCCAGAGGGTACTACACGACCTCGACTTCCAGCCCCCACACACTCTACTTCAGGGGTTAAAATTCAGCCCCCAAGAGTCAGAGGTGGTGTCTGTAGGTGTCCTTCCTGACGACGACGCCCCAGATCTTTACCTGGAGTTGAGGTCCTCATGTACTGGGCAGCACTACAGCCTGATGACCGCCGACGAGGACAACATCTGGGCGGCCCTGAACCTACGTCGACCTGATCCCTTCCCCAGAGGGATGGCCAGGGCTCAGGGGCGGAGCCGAGAGGATCCCCAAGATATCCCAAAGGTGGTGTCTGTAGGTGCTCCCCCAGATCTTTACCTGGAGTTGAGGTCCTCATGTACTGGGCAGCACTACAGCCTGATGAACGCCGACGAGGCCAACATCTGGGCGGCCCTGAACCTACGTCGACCTGATCCCTTCCCTAGAGGGATGGCCAGGGCTCAGGGGCGGAGCCGAGAGGATCTCCAAGATATCCCAAAGGTGGTGTCTGTAGGTGCTCCCCCAGATCTTTACCTGGAGTTGAGGTCCTCATGTACTGGGCGGCACTACAGCCTGATGAACGCCGACGAGGACAACATCTGGGCGGCCCTGAACCTACGTCGACCTGATCCCTTCCCCAGAGGGATGGCCAGGGCTCAGGGACCGGGTGGAGGGGGCCCTTTCCCTCCAAGTTAACCACTACATGTTGAGTGATGGTCCACACCGAGTTCTGTACTTCTCTCTTGTTATTTGCATCACGTAAACATTATACCCGCCATTTATTTTGCCTCATAATTAAACAAACTAACGCTACCTACAGTACATAGGGGTTAGATTAGGTTAAGGTGATTAATAAACTGAAATAAACTGGGATGTCTAATCTGTTGATGATCCATAACTTGTAAAAGTTCTATTGTTCATTGTATGTCTCTACTAGCCTGAAAATATTCCTAGAACCTTCTGGTTGATAAAATGTGGTATTTTTTTCTTCGGGCGCTGAAACCCAAAAACCTGGGATGTACAGTGTGTTTGTGTGTGTGTGTGTGAGTGTGTAATAATAATAATAATTAACGGTTTATTGAAAAAGTTCAGTAACCAGAAGGCTGAAAATGTGAGGTGGGTGGGTCGTTTTACAAAAGCTTTCATTACCTAAACGAGAAGGAACTTGAATTGAACATACAAATTATTATAGTTTTCAGTTGATGACCCGGGCTGGTCTCTTGCTCTACTGTGTGAGGTGAATGTAGGAAAAATGACACAGGAAAAAAATGGCACAAGAAAAAATGGCTCAGAAGAAATGGCATTAGGAAAATATGGAACCTAAAAAAAGCATAATCATCAGACCAGAAAAAAATGGTATATTAATTTTTATTGACATGTTTTTGCTAAAATTTTATAATGTTTGTTACTGAAATTTATTTAGTTATATCAGCGTCATAACATAAAACATTTATTACCTTTAACTAAATTAATCTACTGTACTCGTACATAAATGATTTACAAAATAAAAAAAATGTCACTTTGCATATTATTGTTTAAGATTTCCATCGAATGTTATAGCCAGCGCCTTGCAAAAACTTCTGGACTTACTTGCGACCAGCTAGGCGGTCCTGGCAGAGGGTCTTCAGCCTTGTCTGGAGGTTCTTGTTAACTCGTTTTTGGCGCTTCCTGGGTGGCTCACCACGAGATTCTTTGATGATGTGAGATGATACAACAGCATGGCCAGCTTGGATCTACTGGATGGAACGCCAGATAGTTTGGTGGCTGTGCCCAACCAACCTGGTAGTAGAGGAAGTAAAGAAAGCATTGAAAGGAATGAGTGTTAGTTACAAGACTAGCGAAGTCATCCGAAAAGTATATCTTGCGCTTGTGAGACCTCACTTGGATTAAACAGAGGGAGGGGGCGATGATGAGTGTTACCTACCATGATGTTTGTTCTCTTCTTGTTAACAGGTACCACTAGGTTGTATATATGAAGAGGGTGATAACTTCACATATATCCAATAGTTAAAGATCGATCGCTGAGAACAATCTGAATTTGACAGTGACCCTTGTGGAGAGAGCAGCAAGGGCTTCCCAATGCAATAGCTAACTGGCATTACCACTATTCCAGAATTTTTCGCCTGCTGATTGGACAGCCTCCCTATGAGTTGCCATAAAGTTCAGGGATCAGGTACTATGAGCCAGGCGCTGCTGAGCCACCTTCATAACAACCGAGTTTTTACACCCAAAAGAACTTCAAAATTTGATCTCGGGAAAAACTCATTTTAGCCGAGTGACTCTCAAACTGTCAAAACTTGGCAGCGTCATTGTTAAAATGCGTAGGTGACCGGGATAATGCGACGCACCTTGATGTTATCTCTGGGGTATATCCACTTAAACCTGCTGCTAGGGCGTGTGGGGAGGAGCGTGTGGAGAGGAGTGTGTGTGTGGAGGAGTGTGTATGGGGAAAAGTGTGTAGGGATGAGTGTGTGAAGAAACGTGTGGAGAGGAGTGTGTGTGGAGGAGCGTATTGGGATGAGCGTGTGGATAGGAGCGTGTGTGGGGAGGAGCGTAATAATAATACAGTTGTAATAATAATAATAATAATAATAATAATAATAATAATAACGGTTTATTGAAATAACATTGCAGCCAAAGGACTGAAAAT